CAACAGACCTGGTCTGAGATGTGGTTACTCCTGACCCTCAAGGCCAGGTAACAAGAAGTTGAATCTGAAGTGTGGTTACTGAATCCTCGGAGAAAAGAGGACAAAAAGTCTGTTTGTCCTGTATACATGATACAAGGTTCCCCTTTTTGGTTAAGGTATATTAACAGTGGTAAAAAAAATAAACCCATGGCATTCAGTATTGACTGAATCTGCCCTCCCAACACTATCCTGTGTCTTTTCCTTTACCCTCTTTAGCTAGCCTTTCTTTAGTCCACACTCCCCCTCAGGCACGATCCTCGGGCTGCTCAGCTGGCTCTGCAAAGACAGCTTTTGACAGGCCACCCACTGAGGGAAACTCCCTCATGCTGTACCAACCTGACAGTCCAGATGTATCACTGGTAAACAGTGGCATGAGGTTATGGAGATAACCAACCATTCTTGAGTGGATTTGAGGTCAGCTCCACAGGATGGGATTCATGCCTGATACGGGAAGCCTGGACAAAAGCTCTTGGTAAGGGAGATGACGACCCTAGAGAGGATCCTACTACTACTGCCTTGCTAAACAGCCATGTTGTCAAACTATATTCTAAACATTTGTGTTTATACACGTAGATGAACGCTGCCTTTAACCTTGGCCATGGAAACTTCTTGTAACTGACCACTATATGGCGAATAGGTGGCTATTGGATACTCAGCCCTAAAGGGAACACTCTCCAAGGCTCAGCAGGCATCTGTCTCAGAAGAGGTGGTGGGAAGAATGAAAGATGGGGATGTGTGCTATGGAAAGTGTCTTCAGGACATGGTATGACTGCTGCGCTCATGACCTCACCGCGGCTGTGGCTACCTACACAGGACCAATCAATGAGATCACCCAACCGGTAGCACCAACTGTCCTTGGTGGGTTGCCAAAAATAAGAGAGAAAATGAAGGAGGGATGCAGGAGAGAGAAAATGAAGGAAGGATTTTAGGGTGACTGGAGGGAGTAGGAGGCCTCACTGAGGTGTCTATGATCAAAATGCATTGTTTATATGCATGAAATTGTTCAAGAAGAAGACATACGAGACACACACACAGACCCTGCCCAGCAATCAGATGCCACCCTACACGTGGAACACCATAGAAGGTACTTTGAAAGGGGCAGGAGCAGATGCTGGAGATTTAAAAGCCAGTGGTACTGTGGAATATACTAGAAAGGACCAGGTGTGGTCCAAGAACTCTTGCCAAGCAAGTGCAAATGCCACCTGATCACTGAAAGGAAGGAAGGTCTTTGTACTGGATGCTTTCCCAATTACTGTAACAGCATACCCGACAGAATCATCCTGCCACCCTGGGGAAAGGAATGGAGGCAGGGTTGTAGAAACTGGAACCTCTGGTTTATATCATGGCAGATCTGGTGCTCAGTCTGTGTGTGTGTCTGTTCCATCCATGAGAAGGTACCACCCAAATTCTAGGCCAGGCCTAACCCTTTCAGTTAGTCCTTTCTAGAGCCTCCCTCACGGACACACCCAAGGGGGGGGGCCTCACTGCCATTCCTGACCTTTCTTAATCCAACAAGGTGACAACAGAAATTTGTCTTTAGGGACCCGGTGGCTCAGCAGTTGAGAACCACTGAACCATGTATCTGTCCTTTCTTGTGGAGAAGCTTGGTCAACATTAACATAGGTGAGGAAAGAAAAGAGTTAATAACATCCAGTTATGGACTTACCTTTTTTTTTTTTTAATTAAAATTTTAAGCTTAAAACAGAAGTTTTAAAAAATACCTCCTAACATCCTCCTAGATCCCAGGCAATTGGAACATTCACTTCTCAGCGGCTTTGAAAGGCCTGGAAAGGCAGGAATGAGCACACAGCATACACACAGCCATCATTATTTAGACTTAAAGCCCAGTGTTACGTATATTATGATGGTAGTAATACTAAATGCCTTTTAAAAACCATTTAATACCTTCTACAGTTTTTATGGTACATCAAATTACTAGGTTATTCTCGTGGAAGAAAATTGTCTTCATTCTAACACAGCTACACATAAAATGAATAATTGATAAGCGAGGGCAAAGAGCTCTGAAAACTTAGAGGTATCATATGGATGATAAAAAATAATGCAGACAGACAGCCAGTGCTCAGAAACCCAGCAGCTCTTCAGTAAAGCACAATCAGGGAGGTTGGACAAATGCCTGTGGGGGTCTAATTCCTCCTGGGAAGCCGCTCCAAAGGTACTCTGCCCACGCTTGACAAAAGGCCACAGCTTAAGAATAAAGCCAGTCACTGTGAGGCTACAGAGCATCAGGCAGTGGGGAGGGGTGTGTGTGAATGTAATTCTGTCACTAGTTTCTAGAGCATCACTGCAAACATGTACCCGAAGTTCTCCGTGACTGAAGGCACAGACCCCACTCTGACAAGTGCCCAGTGACCACTGGGGACCCTCAAAGCTGCGCTCTATATCCACTGGTATCTTTAGCAACCAGCCTGAGTATCCCAGACTGACATTCTGTAGAAGAACTCCTCCTTCCCAGAGCTTGGAGCAAGAACCAATACGTCACTGTCCCGATGCAATGAAATATTGACTGGAGTTAAGTCATACATTTCAGTGTAGATCTTCAACATATCGACCTTTTCGCTTTGACCCTTTTTTTTTTAATGAGACATCGAACTGTACCGTGAAAAATTATTTTTGCATAGACCTCAAAACAACTAATCATTTCCCCTTCTTCCCATCAGAGGCTCACAGAATCAAAACCAGTGTGACAGTTTTTAAAATATGCTAGCATATTCTTCACGTAACTCACCACCACAAGCCCTTCAAAATCCTATATGTTTTACAATTTTCTCTATCCTTTTACTCACTTCCAGGTGACTCTCTTCTTTTCCGTTCAAACACTCAGGATTTGCCCTTAAGGAGTTTATAAAGAAACTTCTAGGGCATACTTAAGATGATGAAGATCCAAGAACATCAGTAAAGAATACATAAATTTGACTAAAGGCAGACATGGACTTCCTCACGAGGAATACCCAGAGGTAAAGCCTACCAGCAGAGTCAACAAATAAGACAGGTCTAACATGGATGCCGTGAATGTGATTTCCGGAAGGCACAATCCTTCCCATTTAGATGACCTTAATCTACTTTGCTTCCAACAGAGTCAATCTGTTCATCCTAAGAAATAAAAGCCAGGTGTAATGTTACAAAAAGCCAGGCAGAAAAATAAAAGGAAAAGCAAAGCTGGCTCTCCTCCACATCACCTCTGGAGGGATTCCCCTTGGGGCTAGGCTAGGCGGTTTCCATCCAGAATGTCCCATAAGGCTTTGTGTTTTGAGCACTGGGGTCCACCACAGCTTGTGAAGCTGTTGTCAACGGTGTACAGCTTTTTAACAAATGAGGTTCACCGAGCAAAATGATTCACTGAGGGTGGGCCTTTAAAGGTCATACCTCCCCCACAGTTCTGCAGAAGTTGGCTTCTAGTCCACCAGATGGGAACAGACACTAACTACCTTACACTTCCAGGGCCAAGGACAGAGCCACCCCCACTGCCATGATAGACTCAAGCCACTCTCAAACTGAGAGACCCAGTAAACCTGTACTCCCAGCACACCTTTCCTGGTAGTGTACTCGGGAGGCAGAGGCAGGCAGATTTGTGAGTTCAAGGCCAGCCTGGTCTACAGAGCTAGTTCTAGAACAAGGCTACACACAGAGAAAACCTGTCTCCAAAACCCAAAAAGAACAAAAAAACACTTTCTTCCCATAAGTCATTTCTGTAAGTTTGGTCACAGCAACAGCACCCTCTCTTAATTTTAGGGTAAACAGCCAAAGAGCCAAGTCAAGGCCTTCATTTCTATACTGCTGCCTTTGGTTTTGAACACGTTCCATGGTGGGAAGACAGACCCAAGCAACAGGAAGAGGATCCACGCCCTCCACTTTCTGATGGCCAGCTTGGTCTGGCACCAGCTTCCCAGAGATGAACTTGACTCATGAGGCCAAACGTATTTTATCTCTCAGCAGAGCAAGGGGATCACTGCTTGATTAGCAGAAGCTCCACTTGGCAAGCTGCCTCTACTTTCCCAAAGAAAAGGAACAACCTAGAGAGTCACCTCACGGGTACCCCTGTTCTCTTCGCAGAGGGCTGTAGCCTTCATTGTCTGCTGCTGTCTATAGGCTCTCGGGCCACTGGGAAGATCACCAGATTCACAAAGGCAGCAAGGGCCAGGATCTCAGGACCAGCCTGTATAACAATGATCATGTTTCTATTAGTGCCTCTCTTTGACACTTAAGAGATGGTGCTGTAGAGGTTGCCTCAGCTCTTACCAGCACGCACTGCGGCTCCTGAGGTAGACCCAGATTTGGTTCCTAGCACCCACACCAGGCAGCCCACAAATGCCTATAACTCCAGTTTATAAGGGACCTGACACCCCCTTCTGGCCTCTGCAGTCACTTGTACCTATCTATGTATTGCGAGATATTTGATTACACTGTGTAAAGATACGTCACTGTATTGGTTTAATAAAAATCCGAACGGCCATTAGCTAGGCGGAATCTTCAGGGCAGAGAGGATGCTGGCAAGGTGGGCAGAGTTTCAAAGACACATCAGGGAGGCAGAGCAAACACCATGGACTTTACAACGTAAAGGTAACCAAGCCATATAAAAGAACAAAGGTTAAATGACAAGGGTTAATTTGAGTTATAAGAGCTAGTTAAAAACAAGCCTAAGCTATTGGCTGAGACTTCATAAATAATAAGTCTCTGTGTCATGATTTGGGAGCCGGCTGGCAAGATAGAGAAAGACTCAGTATACAGGCACAATACATGTACATAAAAATAAACACATAAATCTTAAAAGGAGGTAAAATTATCAAAGGAGTAATTAAAATGTTGTTTAAAAGAGGAGGAATCAGGAAGGGTAGTTCATGACAATTTTTCTTACATTTCCATCTGCTGATGACTAAAAGGGAAGACTAAGTTTTTCAATGAAGCATTCAATTACGACAGGATGCAATCTGAGAATACTTTACCATAGGGATATTTAGTATCCAGCTTGTTTTCTGCTGTTCTCCTCCAAGGCAACAGGTCATCACTGCACCCATTTGGCATTCCATTGTACCCAATCCCAACGATCTTGTTTTCCGTATTCACAATGCAGGCTCCAACCTAGAAAAGAAACATTGCCCAAAGGTTTGGTGCCCTGGGGAGGTTGCACAGAAGCATAGGGGAATACCACACAAAGGGAGGCAGATTACCTCTGCATTTTCTTAAATTGCTGGGCGTCTGTTTCCTAACCTGTTCATTGCATTTATCTCTGCCAGTATCTGAACATCCGCCTACAAAACCGATTTACCTGGGAACTTGGATCCTTGCTTCTTTGGGCTGATAAGAAGGCCACCGCCATGAAATATTCAGGCCATTCCAGATAGTCATCTCGTTTCTTGCAGGAATTGTCACTCATGTTGGGTCTAGAAGTCAAATGCCACTAAACATGGAGGACAATTGTCAGTCTGCTTCCCAAGGAAATGCCATCAGCCCCCAAACCCAGGACAATGTCATCTGGACTTATGAAGAAATCACATGAGTCCTACCCACTCAAGAGCCTCACTTCTAGCTAAAGCAGGCATTAGCATGACATCTTACAGCCCCAGAAATCAGGAAATTTGCCCTCAAAGCCCAGTGTAAATAAATAAAAAATAAAATAAAATAAATAAATAAATAACATTTGAAATGGCGTCAGTTCGGGAACTAACCAGGTGATCTGTCCCTTTCATTCCTCCAAATAAATCGATTAATCAACTCTTGAGGAATGGGGAAAAAAAATAAAATGCCAAAACTTAAACCAGGTTTTGTAACATGGGCTTCGGGGCCAGGACTTGATGGTCTCTACAATGGAGGAAGAGGTTGAGAGGATTGGGGGTGGTGGGGGGAGGCACAGAACTTCAGCTAAGAGAATCCTCTCAAAAATAAACCGGGGAAGGACGGCAATTGAGAAATCTTAAGGTGGGAATTTCTCAAACTTCCCCTTCGGACTACAGGACAATATCTAGCAGTGAAAAGGTAAATATAAGGAAGCACAAATAACAGCCAATGGCTCAGCCGCCCCTGCAACCCTGCTCAACAGGGAGACTTGCTGATTGGAGCTTCCCGCCTAATTTACGGTTTGGAAGGGGGATGGGAGGGCAGCGAAAGGGGACACATTCCTCCACCCCTGGCGGCCTGTGCTTGCTTGAAAACTCCCTGGGGCTCTGTACCCACCCACGAGCAGCTTGAGAACAAGGAAACTGAGGCTGAGATGTCAGCAGTCCAGGGAGAAACCGTCCCACCTAGCCCAGAAAGAACAGTCCTAGCAAGTCTCCTCCAACTCTGCTCCCGGTTCTAAAGCCTCCATCCTCCCGACCACGTAGGCGCCAGCAGAGACTCCGGGAGCACCCTCCCTCCAACGCGGCGAGCCCGCCCACGAGTGGCCACGCACGTGCAGGCGGCGCGCAGGGTGAGCCGGGTCCTCCACCAGGCGACACCCCAGCTGTCTGCTCCACCAGGGTGCAGACCACGCTCGTACGGTCCGATTCCCGCCGCCGCCGCCGCGCGAGAAGGAAGTCGGGAGGAAGGCGGGGCCCGCGCGCGGCGGAAGAGTAGGCGGGGACGAGCGCGCCGCGATCCCCGGCGAGCAGGGCTGTGAGGTCCTTGGTGCACAGTGGGTCCTCAGTTTGCCTGGGCACGCGTGAAGCCAGCGTCTGTCCCGCTGTGGCAGCGGGGACCCAGCGTTGCGCTTACCTTTACGGTTTGCCCTGGGCTTTTTTGCACTGGTGGTGCCGGCGTGGGCTCAGGAAGGGACAGGCGTGCCTGAGAGCTTGGCCCTTTTGTTGTTGATGATGAGTGACCCTCCCAGTCCTCTGAATCCGTCACCAACTCCCTTAAGCAGTTACTATAAATACAGAAAGGTGACCGAAAGTTCCAAAGATTCTAGATGCCAGGGACAAGGAACGAAGGGACCTGGTTCGCGTTTCTATAATAAACTTCTGCTGTGTTTCTATAATAAGCCCTACAGGCTGTGTCCTCCTAGCCAGCAATGGCTTTTTGGCTTCATATAGGAAGGGTATAGAGCATGCAGCTGTGCCCTGAGGCCTATACTTCGAAACTTCATTTGCATTGGCTTTTTGGTTGACCAGGTTTAGAATTTCTACTCCAGGCCTGTGCAAGGCCCTGAAATGCAAGCTAAAGTCTTTTCCAGGTAGTCAGGATACATACATGCTTGCTTGACAGACCCCTGGTAACATTTATGGAGGTCATATCCCCCAAGGAACTACATCTGATTCCTGGCACATAGTTTACTGGACTCAGATGTTAGACCCTTATGTCTGGAGGAACTTTTTTCTTCCAGCACAGAATGACAAACGTGTCTGTCTTACTAACAGAGCTTTTGGCTACTACCCACACTCTATACACTCGCTCCATAAATAAAAGCTATTGTAATCATATGAGTTCTGACCTGCACATCCCGTATCTCAACTGCTAATCCAAACAAAAGCTTGTTAACTGTATTAATTTGTCTCACAGACGAAGAAGAATGATGAGAATAAATAGTTGGTTCTACCTAATTCCTCACTCGTGCCGACACATCATTCTTTATTTCCATGATCCAGCCTGTAGATTCCATAATTAAATTATGTACTGCTCTTGGTGGATGCCAGGAAAGCAAAGGGGGGAAATATTTCACTGTAAACTATAGATTATTTATTTATTTATTTATTGCCATGATAAAACTCAGGCTTGAAAGAGCCACATAGATTAAAGTGATGATTTTTAATGTCGAGTTAACTTTGGTTGACTATCATGTCGTCACTAAAATTCATTATGTCCTGAGCAAGTGTTTTCTCCCCCACCCACTGCTTGGTCTCCATCACCCTCATCTATAGTCCTTGGGTCTTGTTGGAGTAATTTCTCTTCTTACCAACATACAACTAATACATCACCAGTTGCTGCTGGCCCTTCAACCACAACATCGTTAAAGCTCTCTTCCCTCCTCTGCCGTGTAAAGACTGTCATACATAATTTACTTACTTCTCATCAATCTGGTTAGCTCACACACACTCCCCAGTGCAATAAATTGAGGATCCTGCTTGCCCAAAACAGTTACCCCCACTGTTCCTGTATTTCCCCTGAATGCCTCTCATCTTAGAGAGATGGTATCATTCATGATAAAGAAACACTCCTGACTCATACTTTCACAACTAGAGGTTTCAAATTTTCTGCACCATCAGTAAAACCAGACAGCCACATGAGAAAAATGCATGCCTTGTTTATTAACACCTTGTAACTCCAAGTGTGACTGTTAAGTGTTAAATCTCTTACTAATACTTTTCATTTTGGCTTATAGCCAGGCTTTTGCTTGGGGGTTTGCTATACTTTCAGCCATGTCTAGATTTCACCTCCCTAGGCAATGTGAGGAGATGTCATAAGGGATGGACAGCATCAGCATGGTTGCAAGGGCTCCTGTCAGATTTTGGCTCACTCTGATGCTTATGGGACGTCAGGTTATCTGTGTGTATTATATTACTTAGAATGTATTTCAGAAGTGTGTGTGTGTGTGTGTGGTGGAGGGGGCAGATTAAAAGGCCAGTCAAAACTCTGCTGAGGCTATTCTGGAAAGGACTTTGATTCATAGATATTTGCCTTACCAAAATACCACCTAATAATTCTCCTTTTTGTTTGCCAAGAAGGAAAATTCTTTTTAACTGAAGAACCAGAGACAGGAGTATGGGAAGCAGTCAGTATATGCATAAAGTTTGTTATGATTACAAGGATATAGGCTTTAGTCAGCCAAACTATGAATTACTTCATATTACCCTAGTGACCTTCAAAATACTTACTTGAGCTTCTGTTGAGTTAACAATATGCATCTAATCATATTTTTTTAAAAAAAATCTACTTCATACTAGTGTTACAAAAATCACAACAAACCAATTCTTGTTACTACCCAGTGAATGAAGAATAAATGAATCTTTCTGCTGGCCCATTTAACATGTAAATGCTGTTTTTACATAGCCTATTGGGATATCCTTGTCTTTACTGGAGTCTATTGGCCTATCTATGTATCTTATGTATCTATCATGATGAATGTATGTATGTAATGTACCTATGTATGTATGTATGTATGTAATATGCCTATGTATCTATGTATGTATGTATGTATGTAATGTACCTATATATCTATGTATCTATGTATCCATCTATCTATGTATCTATCTACTTAACTACTTAACCACCTTATCCAACCATCTCTATTTATGTACTTTGAAAAAGGGTCTTGGGTATCCAGGCTGGCCTCTAATTTACTGAGATGACTTTGAACTTCTGATCTTCCTGCCTCTGCCTTCCCAGTGCTTGGAATACAGGTATGTAATCACATGAGCACTCCACCAACTGAACTACATTCACGGTTCCATGGTTGTGGATAGAAGTACTAGTGTTACTGTTTTTCGAATGATTAGTTATTTTATGTGTCCATGCTGCAGTTCAAACTACAATAGGTTGTTTAAACCTTACGTAAGGGAAGACTGTGTTATCTCCTATGTGACAAGAAGGTTGATGATGTTGTGGAATATTAGTTTAAGATGTATTAGATGTGTTGCATTCTTTTATGTTGTATTTGTCTAACTCTGTAAAGCTGTGTTACTTTGCCCATCTAAAACACCTGATTGGACTAATAAAGAGCTGAACAGCCAATAACTTGGTCGCAGGCCTCCAAGAGTTAAAGAAAAAAACAACTACATGATGATAATATATCAACTCAGTATATGATCTCAGAAATATACATATGTATTTATCAGAATATTCCTATCGGAAATAAAAACCTTAAATAAACTGAGTTCTAGGTTGCCAATTACTTTTACTGTTTCATAATTACCATGATGGTCAGTGGAGAAAGATTAACTTGCTCTCGCTCTCTCTCTCTATATATATATATATTATATACAATATAATATGTATAATATACAATATATTATATAATAAGTATATACAATATATCCTGTACATAGGGTATATAATTCTGTTAGGTCTTTCCAATGAGTTAAGGAAAGGTACAATGTGACAAGATGTGCTAATATGTTATTTATTATTTATATTAAATAATATATTATTTAAAGCTTGCCTGAGGATTCAGAACGCAAAATCAGCTATAAGCCAGAGAAGTCAGGCACACACCTTTCTTTAATCCCAGCAGCCAATAGGAGGTGATGGTACACACCTTTAATCCTAGGACTCAGAATTAAGAGGTAGACAGATCTCTCTGAGATCAAGGCCACCCAGGGATACACAAGATTGAATCAGGCTAAAAGAGTAACAGATAGCACACCTTTAATCCCAGCACTGTGTGTGTGGAGGGGGTGGGGGGTGTATGAAAGATAGAAGCGGGCTCTTCAGTATTCAGTAGGAGGCATGCATTCATTCTCCAGCCACCTTGAGGAGGGGAAGACATTCAGTCTCAGGGTTCTCCAGCCACACTGAGAGGCAACAGGATCAGCCTGAGGTAGTGGTGAGAGCTACCCGTTACTTGGCTTTTCAGACCTTCAGCTTGAAGTCTGAACCCCAGTGTCAGTCTCTGGGTTGTTTACTCCTGTTGCAGCAAAAGGCTGCACTAGCCATTTAACTCCTAAAGAAAATTTAATAGGGGATTTCATTTACAACAGTTATTAGGCATCCACTTTGTTCTTTTTGTGTGTGTATCAGGAAATATTGATCAGTAAGTATTGGCTGACTAAATAAATCAGTAGAAAAGAATTGTTTTATGCCAAACAACATGGAGTCTCCAACACATAAAGTAAACTTTGCAAGCTTTAGTTATTCCTCTCTTTTCTGTGTGTAACGGGGGGGGGGTAATTTGGCACATGGAGGGACATTAGGCAGATGAGACTTTGGGGCTGGGGGGGGACAGGCAACAAAGGGTAAACAGAATTGTTTGCAAGACAAAAAAAATCCAATCTGAAGTTTTGTTCTTGGCCCCAAACTGGCCATTTGTAGCCCCAGAAGTGAAGGCAGCCATGAAGGCTGTCTGCCTTCTTGTATGATGCCAGTTCTCCTGGTGGCTTACTTACTTTTTCTCTACAGACCTAAACCTGTAGCCTCGTTCATACATGACTGATTGAAGCTGAGGGAAATTACATGTCTTATCTCTTCTTAAAGGAAAAAAAAAAATACAGAAAATGTAAATCTAAAAGAAATGGGCAATTTTCTTGTAGCACTTTGTACTTCTGTGTAAGTTACTGAGTGCCAATCATTCCACTTTTTAAAATTCAGATTTGTCAAGCAGCATGCCAGCTTTTGGTGTCATACCTAGAAAAGATAATGCTTCGTGTGGAACCCGCCACTTAGGCTGCGTCTGTAGAAGTCCCTTTCCTGATGAGAATTGATCAGATTGCTGGTTTTATAGAAATATTAACAATCCCACAATCCCATTAAATACACCCTCTACTCTGGGGTCACTGTGGAATCTCCTGAAAGGTAATAGTTAAGGTATATGGTTC